GATAACTTGCATTTGCTTATCGGATAGTCAACTAGTCGTTCACATCCCTAACTGTGAACACTGGAGCTGAGGTGACAGCAAGGAAGGGCAGTACAAGGAGCTACATCCTGCCACCCCCAGGAACACAATGGCCCCTTCTGGGAGTCATGTGGGGCCAGAGCACGCAGGGAGCCTTTCTTAGCTTCACTGTACTAGTAGCCACCAATGGTAAGTGCTGCCTGGCAGGAAACCACACTCCAACCCCCAGCCTCTCCCCATATCAGGCACCCCATATCCCGTCCTGCACTCCAAACCCCAAGCCCACTCCCAGAGCCAGCACCCCAAACCTCCTCCCACACCCAGGATCCCGATCCCAGCCCCGACCCCCCTCTTAGAGCCAGCACCCATTATCCCTTCCTGCAACCATGAACCCACTCCTGTGCCCCTAGCATCTGCCCAAACCCTGAGCCCCCTCCTGAACTCTAATACCCTCAGAGCCTGCACCTGTCTCCCCGTCCTGCATCTCAACTCCCTGCCCAGGTTCAATCCAGAACCTCCCCTCCCCTCCCGCACACACACAGCATGAACCTCTAGGCCCCAGTCCAGAGGCTGAACCCCCTCCCGAACTCCAGCGTCATGCCCCAGACTGGTACAACCGAGGGAGAGAGGGAAAGCGGAGGTCTCTTGTGGCGCCTTTAAATTCAGAAAGTCATTTTAGGCATAAGCAGGATAGAGTCTGCTTAGAGAGACCAAACTTTGTCAGGAGAAACTAAACTACTTGGTATTTGTAATACCTGACCTCAGACATTGTCACAGGCTGACACAAGCCTGGGCTGCTGTTACTCTACCTGACTCTGTCTCTCGCAGAAGCCTAGGCCTACGTGCAATCACGCCTTTAAATTCAGAAAGTCATTTTAGGCATAAGCAGGATAGAGTCTGCTTAGAGAGACCAAACTTTGTCAGGAGAAACTAAACTACTTGGTATTTGTAATACCTGACCTCAGACATTGTCACAGGCTGACACAAGCCTGGGCTGCTGTTACTCTACCTGACTCTGTCTCTCGCAGAAGCCTAGGCCTACGTGCAATCACAAAGTCCTTGTCCTTTTCCTTCAATTTCTGCCGTTTCTGAGGAGGATAGAGAGACACTAGCAGTTCCTGAGGGGTGTTCTCACTCCCCAGCTTCTCTTTCTTAAGGACAGACACTCCCATGCCCGAGAGTATCTCAGATGTCTTGGTGGGGTCCCAGGACCATGTGAAGCTTGTGGAAACATTGCTGCCTGAAGCTGGGATTTCCTGGAGATGTCTCCTGCAGGAACACCAAAAGTTGCACTCACAATCATTTGTAAAAGATATACCCCAAACCCAAATGTCTGCATGAGATGCATGTAGAAAGACTAAAAAGAAAAATGGCACAAGTGGCTGCACCTACAGTCCCTACAATAACTAATCCCATTCACACAGATAAATTAACAGCAACACTTTTTACTTCTATAGCACTGCAAAATCCTATAAGGGTTTACGAACAAGCCCCCCTCCATCTCTCTCATGCCCAGACCCCGCACTCCCAGCTCACTCCTGCACCCTCCCTCCAAGCCAAACCTCACATCCTCACCTCCTCCTGCACTCAAACTTCCTGCCAGACCCCCACTCCAGCACCTTACCTCCATCAAGATCCTCCACTCTCCTCCCACACACTGAACCCCTCAATTTCGGCCTGGGGGCCATGAGGATTAATTTAAGTAAAAAGATTAAAAGAGCTAAACATATTTAATTTTGTCTTGTTTATTCAATGGACAGGAAAAATAGCTAGAAGAAAAGGGGTGAAACTAAGAAGAGAATAATTCAGTCTGAAAGTTAGAACAATCTTCCTAATATACCAGTTGTTCAGGACTATTAAAATGAAACTGCACAAATTACTGGAGAAAAGCCCTGCAATGGCTGGGGTTACAATGAATGATCTCTAACATCTTCATATTTCATTGCCAGGATTGCTTCATTCACCTGTGTAAGCTCTGTGAAGGTTAAAAATCTATAGCCAAGCGTGCAATCTGGTGGTTTGAATACAAAACTGGGAGTCAGGAAATTGAATTCTAAGTCCCACCTCTGAAGTGGATACCTGCTTTTAGGTTATTTTGCCTCAGTTTCTATAGAATAGTGATTATTTATTTGCCTCACAAGAGAATTAAATAGCTGATGTTTGTAGAGCACTTTAAAATACTGCAGTATACTAATTAGTGCTGAGATGCATTAGCTGAGAATTAGCACTGCTCACATTTCGTATCACAGGCCATGTACTGCCAACAGTGATTCTCAGCTCAAATGACAGTCGTTTGTTCTCTGGTTTTGGTCCTATTATCACCATGAAGTTCTGAGTAGCCATGGTGTGATGCAAAGTGACATCTGTGAACGCCCTGGGGGCCAAAGACACAACTGTTGACAGTGAGTTTGCACTCACTGAATTTCAAATGCTTGGAAAGAGGTTTCATTTATCTAGAGAAATAAGGTGAACTGGTCAATAGTTGTATGTTTCTGCCCTGCACTGTCGATAACTAGAACTACACGAGCATGCCCACGCTGCTAGCCACTACTAGAAATCCTGTTTTAGCTCGGGCTGGGGGCTGTCTTTGAAGCAACGGGGATCTAGCTGCACTACTATAAAGTCCCATAAGGTCACACTATGCAGTGCAGTAAAAAATTCAGAATCCTCACTGAACACGGGGTTAGTTCCAGGCTACTGGTCCCGCTCCCTCTGCCCCGCTCAGATTTCCGCCAAAAATCACAAAGCTGCCTGCTATTAATTACCCTTCAGCGAACGCCCTAAGCTGCTGCCTTTAGGTATGATTTGCGCTCACCAGGCCGGCCGGGGAGACATGGGGGAGGGGGAATTGCACTGTGCAGATGCGGTTTTCCACTGGGTAAAGGGCGGTGGGAGGTGCAGAAGCAGGTACAATAGATGGCCCAGGGCCACAGGGGATCTACCCAGTGCATCTCTCTGCACGCACTCCACCCAGCACAGCCAGTGCTCACCCCCGCCCCTGCAGAGCCCAGACAGCCCTCCCGCTCGCCGAGCACAGCAGCCGCATTACCTGTGCATGGTGGCTAGGCGCAGAGGCATTAGAAGCTGGCAGCCCCGGTTCCCGCACTAGCCAGGAGCAGCGACCGTCCCTTCCCGCGCCTCCTCTCTACGCAGCAGCAGCACTGAATTAAGCGCGCCCGCGGCCGGCGTAACGTTCCATTCCCCAGAGCGCGCGCTTAGACCTAACGGAAGTGTCGGGGGGCGGGGGGGGACGCGTCCAGCCAGCATTGGAAGAGCCGCAATGCTTCCTGGGACTTGTAGTTGAGCGGCGCCGGAGTCGGCTTACCCAGAAACCCGCGCGGCCCGGCTAGGCGTCGGTGGATGACGTGGACGGGCATAGGCCACGGGGAAATGTCAGCAGCTGGGGAACCGGCTGGCCCAGTCGCGGTGACACGGAGGCAGACGGGTCCCCAGGGAAGCGCCGCCGGCTGCTGTGGCGCAGTTTGAAGCCCCGCTTGGGAGCCGGGCCCGCAGCCGCAGCGGGGGATGGAGGCGGGCAGAGCCTGGCGGAGGGCCCGGTGCTGAGCGGGTGTCCGAGCCCCAGGTGAGTCAGCGGGGAGGCTTGGCCTGGCGATCGCCCCATACACCGCGGGGGCGGCCGCGGCGGCCGGAGCGTAGCCCCTGGCGTGGGGAAGGGGCGCGGCACGGGGCTGACACGGAGGTGGGGGGTCGGGGTGCAGCCCCGTCTCGCTGGCCCCGGGTGGTTCCACAGGCCGGTGTTCTGTGCCTGGCCCCGCACGCAAAGCGGGATCAGAGAGGAAGCCGTATCTAAAGTTCAGACTGTCTGGTCCCCTGACCAGTAGGCACCCTTCAGGTGAGAGCGTGAGCCGTGTCTAACCCCAGGACAGGTTTGGAGGGTTAACTGGGAGGTAAGAAATACGTGTGTCCGTACTGCTGTCCTTGACAAATTTCCCCTGTCTAAGACCCACAACTTCTGAATAAAATATTGAAATTCTTATTATACCCGAAACGTACTAAATGCTTAAAGTCACAGAGAGGCACCTGTCCCTAAAAAGCTTGCAGTCAGATTCTTTCTGCTTTGCTGTCAACTTCTAGTTCTTAAGGAGAAAGAGCTAGTCTGCTAGTCTTATTACTAAGTTACTTCTCCAAGGTACTGACAAAGTGATTGTCTAGTCAAGTTTAGCATTTGTATAATTAATTAGTTATAAAATATATAAGACCTCTGCTTTAGCAGATTTTTCTGTGGGGAAGCAAGGCAAGAAAGTGAGGGTTTGTGATTCAGAAAGTCTGGCACCTGGTTTATCAGTGGCCCCACCAAGTCACAGGTCTTTCTTGTCAACCTCTTCCTAGCCCTGGCCAGAGCGCCCATCTATAAGACCAGAGAAAGGAGGCTGGCTGAGGGGGTCTTCTGTGAGTGTGTAGCTTATTTCTGTTCCTCTTTCTGTTCACGCCTCTGGGCAGAGTTCATCTGGGCAGCATCTGCTGGTTTCCTTGATACTGTCGATGACCAGTGGGTGCTGTCTGCAGTCTCTGCTCGGTGTCCCCTTCAGGTTCCCTTCTTTTGCTCCTTTGACTTTCACACATGTCCCTGTTATATTCTTGATAGCCCCCCATAACTAGTGGAGTTCCTGGCCCTTGTGGATCATCCCAAGAGGCTGAGGAGGGTCCTGTAGCAATGGATGGGCTTATACCTACGTTTTCAAAGAACCCAAATAGGATCACTTTCCTGCTGCACTGTGGCCTGGCTGTATCACAATGCAGTACAAAATGAAGTTAGAATAATTATTTTAAAATTGAGACAGTCCAGAACACTTAGCAGTAGGCCAGCTGAGCTGTATGGACAAGAAAAAAGTTATAGACAATAGGAATGTGAATGTTAACTAGTTAATGTAAGCCTCACCCTTAACAGGAGGTTGTGGAACCTCAGTCACTGGAGTTTTTTAAGATTGTGTTAGACAAACACATGTAAAGGATGGTCTTGGTGATACTTTATCCTTTCTTGAGTATGGGGAACTGGAGTAGAAGGCTTTTTGAGGTCCCTTTCAGTCCTGTGATTCCAAGATATTTGCCCCTGGCCTGTCTCAGTGTACAGAAAGAATCAGGTTTGGATAGCGAAGGAAACAGTTGTCTATTGGACACCTGTTAAATTCATTGCAGAAAGTTGAAGGTACATAGTGAATGAAGAAAGAGCTTGGAAAAAGTGAAAGGGTGGATGGTCTTAAAGTTAACCGGTTAAATGCTGCTCTTAAGAATTGGATTCTGTCCTTGCTCCTGGCACAGAATTCCTGGGTGATGCGAGGCAAGTCAATTAAACTAAACTTTTCCTAAATGATTACTAATTTTGTTTCTCATTTTCAGGGTGTCCAAGTTGAGACTTTATGGTCTCTTTTAGACTAGTGCTGAAATGGTGAGTGATAGGGATATTAATGGTTAACTGGTTACAGTTAACTCATGGGGGCTGAAGCAGTCCCTCCCCTCTGTTTAATCAGTTAACCGGTTAAACTTAATGTTTAAATGGTCAACTAATTAAACAGGATTTTGCATCCCTAGAGAGTGCATTGCTGAAGTCAGTTTGAGTTATGCTTTGGGCATGTAAAATGGTTTATAATGCTAAGTTGTCTGAATAAACAGGTCCTAAATGTCTCAAATGGGAACACCCAAAACTAGTTGACATTTTTTACTTTAATCTGTCTCTGCCTTCCATGTTTTAGCATGTTGCTTTTTCCCCCCAATCGTGAAATTTCATATAATGAAACATAGATTTTTTTCCATTGTGTCAAAACCTGTAGCATCAGTGAGCAAACAGATATTGATTAATGCTACTCTATCAAATGAGAGTAAATACCCCAAGAAAGCCTGCTTCAATACAGGGGCAAAAACCCCATGATGACCACATATCCTTAGCTGTTACCTATCACCCCACTTGGAACCCACCTGAACTATCATCAACCTGCTACAACCCTTACTTAATATAGTTTCTTTCCTGAATTCCTTCTTCTGCCCTTTCAAATAATCCCCCTCCCCCCAGTCTCTCCAAGTTCATCCTCAGAAGCAAGCTCCCCAGAGATCAGCACACACTGACTCAAAGTGGCATCAGGGACAAGATACAAAACCTGCAGACATATCTCCACCACTATAGTAATTAACACCCACAAAACAAGCTTTTCAAGATCCATGGATCCTGCACGTGCCTGTAAGTTAGCCAGTGCACTAAATGCCCCAGTAACTATCAGAGTGAAATCAGATAATCACTATGCTCTCAAATGAACTCATGCAGGAAAATGATAAAAGACAAATGCATCACATCACCTGAGGGTGAACAAATTGATCACTTTATAGCTGACATATCGGTAGTTTTCACTCTTAAAGGAAACTTTCAAAAGAGCCTGGGAGCTTAAATTTGTAACTTTGCTAGACATGAAAAATGATGGATTGACAAGAAAGTAGGAATGTTAACAGGTAACGGGTTAACTGATTATCCAGTAAGCATCACCCTTAATGGGAACAGGAGCCAGCTGCCCTGCACATGGTGAGGCCAGGAGGAGGAGCTGGCAGCCATGCACGTGGTGGGTACTGGCAGTGGCAGCGCACGCAGTGGGGGCTGCAAGCTCCTGCTGCGTCTCCTCTCCTCCCAAGCTCTAAGCACAAGGGGGGACCAGGAGCAGAAGCCACCTTCCCTCTCCCATTTGGGGGTGCCAGCTCCTGCTACCCCCCAACCCTGCACACCTTATTTCCCTGCTTCCCTATTTTCCCATGGCTTTCCTCTTTGTGGTTGAAGGATGTTAATGGGCCACTTCATTTTGATTGGTCCTTTGAAATATGTGCTAAGTAGTTATGTTAAAGTAAACAATGCCTTCCACCTGCTACGCTGAATTGTGATCTACATTACAAATTTATGTTGCTATAACTGCCATTCAAGAATATGGAAAATACACACCCATGAGCAATGTAGTCATACTAACCTAAACTCTGGAATAGACAGTGCTATGTTAATGAAAGGGATTTTCCCATCAATATAGCTACCACTTTTGGGGAGGTGGAGTAACTGTTCTGTGGGAGTAGCTCTCCCATTGGTTTGGCCCTCTGCGGGTAAGAATTGGTGTCTGCATCTGCAAAAATGATCCAAGGATACATGCAAATTTGCAGGGCTCTAGGTACAAAATTTGTATCCATATCCACAAAAATGAGCCACGGATAGCCACATCCACATATGTGGATACCTGCAGATATAAAGCAGATATCTGAGGATTTGCAAAGCTCTACCCATTGACATAGGTAGTCTCTTCATTGAAGTGGTACAACAATGCAGCTGCACTGCGGCAGCGTTGTAAATGTAGACAAACCCTGAGTATGTTGCCCAGACCTGGAAAGAGCAGCCTTGTATAAGCTTGAAAACTTGTCTCTCTCATCAACAAAAGTTGGTCCAATAAAAGATATTACCGCATCCATCTTGTCTCTCTAGAAAATAATTAAATACACATCAAGCTGTACATCATTATTTCCAAAAACTCTGTGCCAAAAATGAAATTGATATCTTACAAGTTTGGTTTTTGTTCAAGCTATTTATTTATACCATAAGAAATCAAATAATAATAAAATAGTATGTTTTACTTTTAGAAATAAGAGGAGAATTTCTTAATGCATTGTTACTGCTGTTGAACAAATTAAAAAGTTAGGGCTATAGTCTCATCCAGTGAACAGGAACTTGTCACTCAGGCTATCTGATATCAAGTACTTGAGACCAAGAAGATAGAGGAAGGGGAGCCTTAGGACTATATTACAAAATGTATCTGGAAGAATGCATTATTTTTTGCTAACAGAACTGTGAAACAATGTGATAAGGATTGGGAGCCAAGTGGATCTTGGTGTCCAGTACCAATTGTGCCATTGACTGATGATGTAATTTTTTGGGACAGATGACTTGATCACCTGCCTCAGTAAAACTATATGGAAAAGTAGGTGAAAAACAGGACCCTTCTGAAAGTCAGAAAATTCACATGTCAGTCAGCTTCAGCATTCAGTGTTCATTTATTTCATATGTATCTTCCAAAGGTTTTAATGCAGTGGTTCTCAAGCTTTTCAGGGTTACATCATCCCCCTACTTTTGTCCTTACTTCCCCCCTGACCTCGCCCCATGAGCTGGGAGTGAGGTCGCAGCTCCAGGGGCGTGGGAGGAATAGGGTAAGGGACTGGGAACGGAGCTGGAGTGAGGCTGAAGACCGGGCTGGAACAGAGCTTGAAGTAGAGCCCGGCTGGATGGCACTTCCGCTCTACCCCCTGTGGAGGCTGGATGGCCCCTCCAATTTTTCTCAGGGGAACATGGCTCCCCTATGGTTTGAGGACCTCTATTTTAATGTAATTAAATGTGTTTTTGTCTTACAGTTATGATCCACTTTCATAAGTGAGCTACGTTGGCTGGCTGGAGAGAATATATAATAATGAGTGGTGCAGCTTTGGGCATTGAGATAATATTTGTCTTTTTTCTGGCTTTATTCATACTTCATCGGTATGGGGACTTCAAGAAACAGCATAGACTTGTGATCATAGCAACATTGCTGGCTTGGTATCTCTGCTTTCTTATAGTATTTATATTACCTCTGGATGTTAGTACGGTAAGATTTTCCATTTTTGTGAACCTTAGTATACTATTGCTCTATTTTAAAAAAATCACAAAAATATATTACACACTAAGAATACAGTTGTGTAAATCAGTGTAAAATTTCCCTGCAAGACAGAATTTTCATTTCAAAAGAGATCTTTTAAAATTCTGAAATTGAATAAAATGAGCTGTTAGTTTTTTCAAGTTAAAACTCATATATTTAAAAATAAAAGTGAATTGAATTTAAAAATCACTATTTCTGCTGTTGCTGTTAGCTTGAAAATTAAACTAATTGATATCACTCTATTCTTTTCTAATCAGTTTTTCATCAGTTTCATCACAATTTTTTTTATCCACTAGTTAGGTGCTGACATGCAAATACCATAGGAATGTTTTTTTAAAAAATCCTGCCTTACTAAAATAAAGGGTGAAATGCCATGGAAACATTAGCATCAGACTTAATTTTTGTACCAAATTAGATTTGTATCCCTATTAATGTTTATCTTAAATAGCTATTTCACCTTGTTCTGATAGGTGTTTATGTAATTATTTCATTGTCTTCTAGACTATATACAATCGATGCAAACTTGCTGTTAATTCCAGCCCTTCAGAAAGCAGCAGCAGCAGCAGCAATGAATCTTACACTACTTCTTCACCAAGGTACTAAGAACAATTTTGGTTTTCTCTATCAAAATATTAAAAGCATAGCTTACTTTTTAAGTAAACAAGAATATGCCAATAAAGAACTAGTCCTTGTGCTAGAGAGACGCACTATAAATTGAATATGACATGGTGATTGAAAGTTTATTGATGAGCAGCATTGTGACATAGGGATGTCAATATGTAGTTGACTATACAATTAACCGATAAGCCTAGGCTTATCAATTAATCTTGTCAACTACACGCGCATGCACACACACACCTTGCTACCTCTGTATCAGAGGGAGGTGCCACCTGTATCACTCTGCTGCTTGTATCAGGCAATGGGGTGGGGGAGAGTAGGAGCCAGTGTCCCTGAGGAGCTGGCTTTAATTAGGCTCCCCACAAGCACTGGACCCTCTTGCCCCCCCTGCACTGCCTCCTACAGAGGCAGTGAAGAGCAGGCAGGAGCTGGTGCTAGGGGCAGCCGCTTTAAAAACCAGCTCCACAGTGCCACCTGTCTTCCCCACCACCACCACCTCAGACACACAAGCTGTTGCCTCTGTCAGTGGCAGCAGCTTGGGAAGTGGGGGGTTGGGGAGGCTGCCGCAAAGCAGCCTCTGTCTGCGGTGGCCTGAGCTCACCGTGTACAGAGACTGGTCCATGGCAGCAGCCCCTGTCTGCGGAGGGTCTAAGCTCCTTGCAGACAGAGGCTACTCTGCCTCCCACAGAGCAGCCTCCGTCAGCAGTGAGCCCTCTATGAAGAGAGACTCGGCCCCAGCAGCAGCCCCTGTCAGCCCGGGGTCTGGGTTTCCTGCGGGCAGAGGCTGCTCTGCCTCCCATGGAGAAACTTCTATCTGCGGTGAGCCTGGGCTTGTCAGGGACAGAGGCTGGTTCACAGCAGCAACTCCTGTCTGTGGTGGGCCTGAAACCCCCACAGACAACAACTGCTGCTGCGGACCAGCTTCTGTTTATGGAGAGCTCAGGCGCCCCCGTGTCAGGAGCTGTTGCCACCCCTTGCTGCTGCCGCTGTATTAAAAGCAGCAGCACAGGGTGGCAGGCAGCTGATCTGCATGAGGAGCTGGATTTTAAACTGGCTCCCCTTGTGAACTGGCTCCCTCCTGCTACTCTGTGCTACTGCCTCTGATACAATGTATAGTCGTGTAACTGATAAGATTTCGTGGGCTTACAGAGATATTGTGTAATTGAATAGTTAACTTCACTATTGTGAGGAAGGACAAACATGACAATAAGATCTTGGGATTAAGGTATCTACAGATCTCAAATGCTTCTATTTTTATTTATTATTTTTAATGTTCTACCTTTCCTCCCTCTACTTTGTCAGAGGCAAGATAAGAATACTGAGATTTGAGTCTATATGTGTATGTTCCTCTTCTCAATATTTTTTAGTAGGTTTTATGTCCTATGCACTGTTAAACAGTCTTAAATTACAAGACTTTCTATTTTTCAAATAATTCATTATTCTACTGTCTTGTCTACAACTTTAAATAAACCAGTATTGCATCTTTTTACTTTAGTACTCTATACATAAGAACAGCCATACTGGGTCAGACCAGTGGTTCATCTGGCCCAGTATCTTGTCTTCTGGCACTGGCCGGTGTTTCAGGAAGAATGACCAGATTATGTAATCATTAAGTGTTCTATCCCCTATTGCCCATTTTCAGCTTCTGGGAAACAGAAGTTAGGGATACTTCAGTACACCATCCTTGTTAATAGACATTGATGGACCTATTTTCCATTAACTTTTCTCCAGGAACTAATATGGTAAAGAGTTCCACAGGATAACTATGGATATGTGAAGAAATAGGTCCTTTTGTTTGGTTTAAACTTGCTGTCTATTAATTTCATTTGCTGACACTAGTTCTTGTGTTGTGAGAAGGAGTAAATAACACTTCCTTATTTACTTTTTCACACCAGTCATGATTTTATAGACCTCTGTCATATTCCACTTCAGTTGTCTCCTTTTTCCAAGCTTAAAAGTCCAGATCTTATTAATGTCTCCCTACTTGTAATCCTTTATGTTGCCTTTTTCTGTAGCTTTTCCAATTCCAGAAGAACTTTTTGGAGATCAGGCAACCAGGTCTGCATGCAGTTTTCAAGATGTGGGTGTACAGTGTATGATGGGTTTGGTCTCAGAGATCCCCTTGAGAGTGTCATTTGATGTGCTGAAATACCACTGAGCCCACCCACCTGACTTTGGGGTGCTTCACACCCTGTCTTGCTGAGTCAGATCCTCTACTCTCCTCCAGCACTGGCACAGAGTTGGGATCCCAGCCCACAGAAGATTAATACAGACACAGAGATTAGATCCGCTCTGGGACAGCTTAATTAGAGACACAGCACCCAGGTGCATAGCCTCAGTAGGACCAGAACCCCATATAAATCCTTCTTACTCTGATCACGTTTTATATAAAGGAAACTCATAAAATGTTTGCACCCTTTTTCAATGAAAGAGATATGCACAGTTGTTTGCCCCTTCAGGGAACAGTTATTTACACTGTGTTTATTAATTCCCCCTTAAGAGAAATTGGCTTGTCCAGATATGTGTGTTTGTGGTGCCAGTAATTGTCAGCATAATTTTAAATGGGGCTATAAGAAAATCCCTTATGAAATATATTAGTCATGTGAAAACAATATTCTGAAATTACAAGACTGAAAATAGTTCCTGGATGGAAGTGAGTCGATATTATTATTATTTTGATTTTACAGTTTACATATGGCTCTGACCTTTTTTACAGAAAACATAAGTGTTTCAAACCATGGAGTTATATCCCTGATGGAATTATGCCAATCTTCTGGCGTGTAGTATATTGGACATCACAGTTCTTAACCTGGTAAGTGAGGCAAATAGATGGCAAAGTCCACACAAAATACCATAAAATCTCAAAAATAATGCGCACTTTTTTTTCCAAGTTTTTTTGGGTCAAAGTCGGGGTGCGTATTATATATAGGAGTTATTGTTTAAAGTTTTATTTTGGCAGTTCCGTGCTGACGCCATGCTAAGACCTCGTTCAGCTATCTTCGTCCGAGGCAACGCTTACAGGCGCTCTTTCTGCCGTCTCCAAAGTCGAATGCTCGACTCTGCTATGCCATCAAATTCGCGGCTGGCAGCTCTGTTGCCATGAGCCTCAGCATAGCTAACTACCTTCAGTTTTTCAGCTGTAGTGTAAGATCGTCGACAACTCATGTTATCACTAAGAATCGATATTTTTGAATTTAAAGGTAATAGAGCATGGAAACGCCATGTATTCTATAGTCGTACGCTCATGTGCAGTCAACCGGCAATACAAAAGGGCAGGAAATACGACACGCTGGCATACCACAGACTTGCAAAAGTCGGGGTGTGCGTTATATATACGAATATAGATTTTTTCCATTATGATCAAATTCAAAAGTCAGGGTGCATCTTATACATCGGTGCACATTATATTTGAGATTTTATGGTATTGTGAAAATAAAACCTGATAGTATTCACAGTACACCATTTCATTCTGTGTGATTTTTACATCTGATGATCTGTCAAAAAGAGTTTTGAGATCAAATATCTTACAACATTGAAGCTTCAGTTTTTCTTTTTATGTGTAATTTTTATCATTGACTTTTAATATCTATTTTAGATATTGTTAAGATTGCCTTCAGTTTTGGAGTGATATCATTTATTTAATACTGCAGGCCAGACCTTGTTGGTCTGACACCCTTGGACCTGACCTGTCCTAGATGAGGGTTTTTGCCAGACCAGGAAAGGTCATTTCTAGGCCCACCCCTGTCACTGCTCTCCCCCCCCCCCCCCCCAAACCCCCCCCC